TCCTTTAGGCTTTTCTTATCGACCGTTGTAGTGTTGGAGTTTCTATATAATGCGGCTTGTTTGCTGTCGATGCTGATGCAATCATGCTTTGTCAGATCAGATCTCAGTACTCACATCATCATAAAATCATTTATTTCGTTGCAAACAGTTACTTTGTATTAGTATCATCGATCTTACCACAGCAAAGATGTTGCATTCCCGGTCAAAGAGGAGAGAGAAAGACGAAAGACATGCACAGAAGCAAGCGGACTTGACGAGTGAAATAAATGGCGGTAGAAATCAACGGTCTTCCTACACATACAGCAGACATAGCGACACTGGTAGTGGCCACAAGACAGAGGACATACACGATAAGATCAAAAGGCAGGCCGCACGGTTAAATCCAAGCGATTCAAAGGATAACACAGACACGGAGAGGCGTCTATATGAGCAACATGCCAAGAAGCAAGAAGGAAAAACCCCCAAGAAGAGTGGGACAAGAACTTAAATTGAACTTTCCGAAAGTAAAGGAAAGAATTGATCTAATGGACTCGACATGGAAAAGAAGCTTTTGAAGAGAAATTTGTGATAGTGGAGTGGCATGTCGACTCAAATAAGGGACAACTGCACTTGAGGATGCAGTCCACAATGTTCATTCCACCGGAAGACTTCGATAGGTGTGAGAAGATAAAAGGTTATAACAGTTTAGATACAAGACTATTACTCATTAGCCACTCTTGTTTGATCCGACACAGACTTAGAAAGTTGTCTTTGATTGTGTGGGAATGTAGGATGGAAATAAACATGTCTGTACGATATAATCAAGCTTATGATGATAACGTAATAATTGACTGTGAAGATGATGAACTCATGAGGCATGAAAAGATTCTATGTTTCATCACCCAAACTTTGAATCAAATATTGTGATTCGAATTGAACCTCGTGTAGAGGATATAAAATTGCCATGTCGTAGCGAAATGTGCCGGTCGGGATTTGGGCTGTTGAAGATGATCGTTCGAATGGCTGAGGGATTTGCAGGCACAAGAGAACAGCGATCGTAGACCAAAATACATCATGCGGTGTACACCGATAATTCGCCACCAAAAGTCTGATCCAGTTGATATATTCTTGATGATCTGAGTAATGCTCTGTGGATATGAATTAGTACTGATTGACTTACATTCGCGTAGGTATTGGGTAAAGACGGCGCAACATGAGACAGGTAATTGCTCCGCCATGACAGCTGTCCTGGTCGGCCTTCACCAATCTGTATAGCATGTATGATCATCACCCTGGAGTAGAAGAAAATAGAAGTGGCCGATAATCAGCCCAGCGCTTTGCGAACCCAGTCGAGGATACTTGAAAATTCTCTTCCAAGATTGCAATTGAATGAATCGACGAGAAGAAGATGAAGATGTCACCACCACCATACGGTCCATACCCCAATTGGTTCTAGTTTCCAAGCAGAAGCGACGTGCAGATGTGAAGACGTGCAGAAAAGGTAAGCCCACTGAGCCCACTGAGCCCACTTGATATGGATATCAGCTCACGTGCTATATATGTACCCGAAGAGAATGAACCAATGTCACGCTAAGAACAAGTCACATCTGCAAACGCCTGGTATTGGCTCACCAGTGGCCCTTCCGATGTTTTGATGTCTTCGATGGCTCTTCTAAAGCCGAATCGGAAGGGATTTTGAGATGTCAAGATAGGCTCGTCGTTATCGTTATCACACAATAGTAAGCAAGCTATTGAATATTCTCTCCCGTTGTGATCACATAGTACTTTTGAGTTTGGACCCTGGTGCAATCATTGGGTTGTAATGATTTGGGAGCCTTTGCATACCTTGCTCTCGTCTCTTTTTTGCTTGCATCTTGACTTGGATGCTACTTTGCTTGCATATTTTGATATGGGGTTTCTATAAATATATATGTATGAATATGTAGGTGTACCTAGGTAGGGAGATATATCATGTTTATCGCCACGAACAGTCTTTGTGAAGTGAAAGGAAGTGAGGAGAAGAGAAGCGACGTTCACGGTAATTAGATCCAATTGAACATGGATCCATGAAAATCAGAGCGGGATGGATTCAATGAAAAGATGAAAGGTCGGTCCACTTCTCACGCAAGTGACTTTGTGGGGAATCACGGATATGTACTGGCAGGTAACGGATGGGTAACGGATGACGGAGTTCCCGATCACATATCACACCGCTCTGAATTCGACAGTCAAAATTTGCATATCAAATGATCAATCGTTCGGTCGGCGGTCGGTGGTGAATCGTGCGTGAGACAGTGAGTGACATCGCCAATGGATGGATGTTGATAAGATAAGAAATCCAGAAATGGAGTCTGTCAATTTTTGAAGTGCAAGAATGGAAGGGAAAGAGCAACCTTGGCAGTAAGAGTAATACTACGATATACAGAGTACTAAGAAAAGTAATTGACAACTTGACAAGGAAGATGTATTCATTCAATGGACCCAAAATAGCAACAACACCATCTCTTTTCTTCCCATTCTTTTCATCTATCGAATCTCTGCGACATCAACCGTTTAGAAGGAGACCCCTAGATCCCTCGATCAAACTAAAGCCCGGCCAGAATTGTCAGAGCCCCTCGTCTCACGATAGCGGTTATTCTCCGTGACAGATATCAGATGGCAGGTTGTCAAGGGACTATTTTTATCATTGTACAAGGCTTACCGTCATGCAAAAACACACTTTGTTGACCGTTGCCGTACACACTTGAGATGATGGAGAAGGATGGATGAGATGAATCGGAGAACCTTGGAAGCCCCAAACATGTCATTCAATGCGGTCATCCATCGATGAATAATAATGATGAGACGAAACGTGAAGGCATTTTTTTCTCAAACGGTTTCTGGATTCTGGATTTTCGTCCACTTTATTCCATCCATCATCTATGTGACACTTTGCAATGGATCATGTGTAACGCTGATGAATCTGTGGAAATGGGCCAGGTGTGATGATGAATGATGATTGAGAGCGACTTGAGACATGATAGTATGTAATATGTAGTATATAATATGTAACATCTACCTAATATATAATATAACTATAATATCTAATAATAATACTCTCTCAATGCTCATATATGACATAACAAGGTCACGGAATGAGATTGAAAGATACCCACCAAGTACCTACAGAGAATATCATCATTCATTCTACTCGAGTATCAATAGTGAATACCCAAGTATTGATGCATGCAAAGTATTTGAAATAAAAAGCTTCCAAGTTATATATATACTTAGATTATACATACATACCTAGGTACATGTATAATATGTCCAATTGAAGTATCATTCTCGTCCTTTCCAAGTCATAAAGTCACAATTGCTTGGACGTGTAACCTTCCTCTTTCCCTTCCCATCAAATACAAATATTTCCCATGAACCAATCTCGTCGCCGAACCCCCCTCCTTCTTCTCTCCTCCCATGCACGATAGATGTTGAAGAATTGTCTATTGGATGTCCAAGATGCGTGAGAACGTCCATCAGCCAGTCGATTCCCTGAGACCGACTTGGTCCCCAAACGTATCCCGTCAGTCCAGGTAGTACCTTGCAGCATCCAAGGGTTCGAGGTGTGCTCTGTGCATAATTCCTGGCCATTCTGGGTCAGATCATACCCACCATGCATTTTGGCGACAACTTCGCTCGATAAAAACAAGAGACGAGAGACATTTCGTATGCAATCATCCCGGAATTATGACATTGTAACCCTGTTCACAGCCTTGGTAGATCAAATAAAAAATTTAGAAAAAATATGGCTGTGAACACTTTGGTCTGCACCTCTAAGCGCCGACACCTTTGGGTAAAGCATCCAATCATCGTCCTCTCTTCTCAACCACACCACGTATTTCTATATCGACCATCCAATGACCATCGACTTTACCCTCATGATGCTACATTCATCGGGTCGGTACGATATTCATGTGTAGCCACAAGGAGATCTATTGGATCTACTTGACTATCCTAAAATGGGGAGCATCTTCATCTCCCCCTCCCAACATCATTTTTTCTCTCCGTTACATCCTTGTATACATGAGTTGCCCCAATCGTGCATGTCAATCCCGTTCTGAGTGCCAGTGGCTGCAGATCCAAGATGTAGATATCATGGCAACCCAAGATAGAAAAGCGTCGTACACCAAAGTAGACATTTTTTTAACGTTACTACCAAGGTACCATTCACCTTGTCCCCCCTCCCCCCCGCTCATCTCATGACACCCATTCACTCCTCTGCCCTGTTGATTCTTAAACCTCTCAACCCGCAGGTTTGGAAACGATTTTTCGATATTTTTCAACGACTTACCTGAACTACCTCGAATGTTAAAACACTAAGACGTCTCATAACTCCGAAGATCTCACAAATTCGATACCCAATTCCTCATACTTCCTCAAACTCCATCTTCACCAGATAGATCACGGATCAGACGACGTCCGAACCTTCAAATGTCTTGATGCAACGGTTACCGGGTCCTCCTTACTACAAACTTCATCTCAGCTTTCTACGCATAATCTTTCCCCCGCCGCTCGGATGCCCGCTGTCAGAAAAGATCAGATAATCATCTCAAGGGCTCTTCCCTTCAAACCGCATCTTAGACATTCCGTCATTTCGACTAGGTGTCATAAGCCTGATACAAGCTACGAAGGAGACCATCATCTCCAGCCCAGTGATTACGGTCCTGGTGCCCGGGGATATAGGTAGAGGTACGCCTCGATATATCGGTACAAAACGACTTTTGGGACAACAGCGCTGTGCACTCATTGTCGTCGATACCATTCCTTCGAGTCGAGGCAATTTTACTTTCGTTATTCACATTCTCCGCTGGCTCGGATACTTATTTTTATTATTATTACTATTAAGATTTTCTTTATTTCAAACCGTACTGACGAATTGTACAAACGATACCCTTTTCTTATTTCCTCTACGGTCTATCTGAAGACCACACATTTGTGACTTTCCTCACATCGGTTCGAAGACTTCTTCATTCTAGGATAGAATGGGAAGACTTATCAAGAATCACTGGGCACGTCTAATTGTCCTCACTGCCGCAATTTGTTAGTATTCACTAAGATCAATCTCATCCACCCACAAAGCTAATCCGAATGCTCTAGATCAAGTAGCAGCTGCAATCGAAGGATTCTTCTGGCCCAAAATCTTCTGGGACTTTCTCACCAAGAATCTCGACGGTGCCGTCAAGCCTTTGCCAATATTACAAATCATCAATTTGGTTTTTGGCCTATTTATGCTAGCTTGGGAGTGGCCACTTGGATTCCTCGTTGGCACGTCTTTCTATCGCAGCATCGAGGCTCGATTGGTTATCCTCCCTTTGACAGCTTTGGCTTCCGCGTTACTATACCAAGCCACCAACCCAGCTATCTACTACACCATTGCACTGGTGGTATATTTCTGGGCGTATAGTGAAGGGGAAGTGATAGCTGGGGTTTGGAAGCTTCCTCCTCGGAGATCCACAACGGGAAAGGTTTAACGGAGAGGAGAGGGCATGGTGATGTGCTGGGTCAGGGATAGAAAAGGAAAGGCAGGAACTATGGTAGAGGGATATGGGACGGCATGGATATACATGAATGACTACGACATCTCATTCACCCAACTGCAAGGACAGGATTGCATATTAGGGTTGGAGTTTCGAGGGATTGGGTGGATTCATCAGCGGACGGCGTTTAATCTTTGGGTGGGGGGTAATGTGAGATGAATGAATGGAAAGATGGAGATGGATGAGGATGGAAATGGAAATGGAAGTTTGAAGGTGGATAGAGGCGGGTTAGAATTGACTACGCGTGATAGTCTCTCGAACTTTAAAATGTTGTCTACTGTTAATAATTCACAACATCTGACAAACCAGTTGTGTTTGCTTTGATAATGGAGAGGAGTGTATCGAGAGACAGACGAAAAGAAAGACAGCCTACTTAAGATTTGTATGCACATTTCATGCATACATACATACATCTTTCATACTTAATGTCAAATCGAATACTCATCATTCTCTAAATCATCCCTCTTGCTCGCTCTCTATCTTCTTCGTGTAAATGCCATTGTATTTATTCATAGAGACACCTACTCTACCCCATCATCTAATACCTACCTCTGCTCACCCAACTCTCAACTCGTATCCATCCAATCCACACATCCCCACCCTCACCTTCGTTAGAATCAATGTAGAACAGGAAATCGAGAATCACAATCGATTGATATTCTCCGTCGTCACTCAACTCGTGTATCTTCTTGCCGTACATGTGCATAGTATCTACCCGCATATCTACCACTTTACTCCTAAACCTCCAATCTGGATTTATTATTATATTATATTAGTAGCTTGGGAAAATGTATTCGTGAGTGCGGAAATTGGATACTGGTATATGTGTATGTATGATATATATACCTAAGGTTACCAGATATGTATTTATGTAATGTATTACTCATTTCTTGCGCGCTTGTAGATAAATAGGCAATTACTTCTACATAATACATAAATATACAAAGTACCTCTATGATACAACTTTGGAAGTAAAGAACCACGAATGAACCCACCAACACCCACCTCCTCCCCCTACATACTCACATCATCGCTCGGCCTAGTCCGCGCCCTCCTCGAGGTTGATTGATAGTTTCGAATACCCGCCCATCTCAACCTCATGCCATCTCATCTCATTCCGCTTCGTATACATGTAGGTATAAATATATATATTCGCCCCCTCCGTGTATCATCTCGAGAAAAACACACACACACACATAAACACACCAAGATTATCCATCCATCATTTATTCAATCATGGATTCAACCATTCTCCCAAAAGTTCACGGTATCCGTCCATCCGGCCGACCAGACCAGACCAGACCAGACCACCAGGACCTAGTAAATCAACCGATTGAGTAATCGAGAAACCGATGCAAGTTCCTGCCTTGCTTCGTAAGGTTACTTACCGCGAGACGCTGATGCTAGCTAGGGGTTGGGGATTGGGGGTTGGTGTTTTATTGATTGAATGACTTGAGGTACGTTTTTTTTTTTGGATTGATGGGTTTTGTATGGGTGTTTGGGTTGGATAGGATAGGTTTATAAATAGATATCCCCTACCTGCCTATCTAGATACCTACCTATATATATAGGTATAACGTGGTTTATCATCGAGTGGGCTATATCATCGAGTGGGCCATCATTTTTACATACAAAATTCGTCTATGCGTAACCGTGCACTTTCTTTATTTATTGATAAAATTTTCTAAAAATTAAAACTATAAATTTTAATTATATAAATAATATAAAAATCTAATTATTTATTGAAAATTCAATTATTATAATAGTTATTATAGAAATATTTCTTTTGTAACGAAAATCGTGACAAATTTCATTTTTTTTTTCAAATATAAAAGAAATTTTTATATCAAAACTAGATTTATAAAGAGCTAAATTTTCTTTATTATTTTATATTTATTTTTTTCTAAAAAATAATGATTGATTATTAAAATAAAAATATTAAAAAAGCATTAATTTTGGTGTATTTTGGAGTGGCCCACTCGATGATATGGCCCACTCGATGATAAACCACGTTATACATACATCTTCATCTTCACCAAAGATATCTATCTATCTATCTATCTACCTTCCTCCTAATATCAAATATCAAAAATAAAAATCTCCATTCTCCAAATTAAAATCCCATTCCCCGATCAGTATTCTAGAATCCTATCCCCTATGGTTAATCCAACGTGTACATGCGTGCACAGCCTCTACCACAACTAACAAACCGGGGAGGTACCTAGGTACCTAGCATCGGTACTCGCTCCCGATGAATGAATACGGGAGTATGATAAATACCGGATCCTGTAGGGCTTAGTTTACGTGCGCGTTTGATTGACTAGGTAATCTGGTCCTTTGGGGATTTTGGGGAGTGGCTGGGTAGGTATTGCTATTGAGTTTTTTGAGGTTGGGTTGGGGTTTGGAAGGGGCGGATGTGTGGTTGTATTTGTATATGTATTTGTATGGGTGTGTGTAGCCATGTATATTGAATAATTAATCAAAGATTGAAGAATCGGATTAGGGGGTGATGGGCTGAAGACTATGCATGCATGTACCTATGTATATATGTATATTTGCGGTGCGGGCGGATGAGGGTATATTGTGATTTGATGTTGTGTGTTGCAGGTGGTTTACTGGGTATCTATGGGGACCCTAGGTGTAGGTAATTCTATTTATGGGTTTGGGGGTATGGAAATATATCTGTCAGTGTGGAATGATTCGATGTGTGTTAATCTTTATCCGTAGGTACCTCTATGTATTGGAATACCCGATGGCTTTATCTGTTATTTGGTAGGGGGTTTGAATCCCGGTTGTAGAAATGTGAATGAGTTGTTGGTTCTTTACTATTATTTTGAATAGCTCGGGTAGTGATTAGGATAGTATTGGAACCGGACGATTAATGTTACGGCTAAGAATTATGATTGACCTAGGATTAAAAACTATGTGATAGATTCGGGGAATGAAGTATAATCTATTTGTATCACATAATGTAATCAGAGTTGGTTATGATGAGATGAAGATGCCGAGGAGGCACAAGCAACATGTGCTGCGAAGAAGGCATGGAAGTGGGTGAGCCAGAGCAAGAATTGGTCAAGGAAGTCAATTTCCTAGTAACATAGAGAATCACTGGTACAAAATTGTTAGATCTCAGGTCGCGGAAAAGTGCCTTTTTGGGAGGAATAGAATTCAAAGTAGCTTCTGTGAAGGTAGGCCTGCATAGGTCTGGCGTCTAATTAGCATCAGCCATTATTTCCTATGTTTGGTATTCCTTGTACTTCTAAACCATGATCTTCTTATATTTAGTGTTAGTTATAAATAAAAATACAATTTGGGAAGGTCCTAAAGGTCAGATAGTTGACAGCAATGTAAGTAGATGAGAAAGAGCTCTTTGAATGTGGGAACCACCTTCTAATAAACCATGATGCAACCCTGTGACTATAATTTGGAGCTTCTAAAAAGGTGGTATGTTGTTATACAGGCGTCGACTCTTCAAGATTTGAAACAGTGGTGGATGAGAGCCTTTAGGATCTAAAAATTAACATATTCTGGTCGTCATGCAAGTCGAACTCGCCAAACCCCAATTTAGAATGCTGGCAGATAGAGACGATGTGAATTCAAAACCTATGTTAGTAGTTGCGGACATTATGCTGTGATATTGTGGAACCTATCGATATGTCAAGAAAAGTAGATCGCTTTGTAGTCATGGTAGCAACTTGGAAGATGCTAGTCCTATAGGACGGTCCTGCTATCTGGATAAGATGCGAATAAAGACTTGGGGTAATCGTCATGATCCGGGTAGGTTTTGTTTTGGTAGTTGTTTTCCGAAAGATATCTTGAGTTGTCTTGATACCAGGTGGTCACTTAGATGTTGACTTTGACACCAGTAGTGTTGACTGGAGTGATTTTGGCTTGTTCGCATTGGATACCTTCTGATGACGAAATTATAGAAATTGCATCCTGAAATGGAATCCAATGAGAGAGCTCTGTGATAGCAAGGCGCGAGATTTGCTTAGCACTTTTGTGCTTCATCAAATTACACGTAGCGTGAGCCATTGTAGAGAGGATCTGCCTCTGTGCCCGAATGAATTCTGGTTCCATGCTGCAAGGTCTTTCGAGAACGGTTCCAGTAGAGATTCATCTCTAGTTGTAGCTTCAATTTCAACAAAGTCGATCGGTATAGCGTGCGTGCTATTGCCCAGGGCGATGTTTTCTGGCTTTGACTCCATATGCACTATGCCATTTCGATGGGCGGCGCCAAGTGTACAAGTGAATTCTAGTGTTCAAAAGTGCCAGCGGTGATTGGGTTTTTAGTACTTACAAAGAATCATATGGCATGCTGTTTTGGTGGAACTCAGGAAGGACCTCACAGACTGGTAGGAGGGACGTCCTCCTATGGCAATCGTAGTTCAATATGGGTTATCAAACAAGACGACCGCAATAAGCCGCATAGCACCCTCATTGCCCTGCATCCGTCCCAGATTCCACAGCTCCAATTCCAAAACCTTACTGGTCCTTGACATAAAGTGCGACCTTTTCAATTCCTTGCGGACGTTCTTGTTAGATTTTCACATTTACTAAATGGACGCCCATCCTAATTCTGTCATGTTCTTGACTGCCGAAAGTCTCTAGCAGGGACGCAATTGCTACCACCATCATATGCTGGGCATTATACTATGTATGGACCTTCTTGTATATAGAACAACCACGGAGCACTCGCTTTCCGCATCAAGTGATGTCTTGACGTATAGTTTTTTGACCATACATATCCTACTCGCGTGTGCGATGAAATTTGGTAAACGTGACATCTAAGATCTGTATAGACTCGAAATAAATACAGAGTCAGAGGCCTTCGAGATCTTCTCGACGGTTGGTTCCTTTGACGAATGGACTGTTTTGAACCGATTGAGGTTTGCTTTGAAAGGAGAAGGTCGATTGCAATTGCGATGAAGAGAATAAAAACCAGCTTTAATCACCGTTTCTTGAGCTCTGAACCAGGTTTCTCAGTCTTCTCTTTTCATATCTTCGCTGTGAAGTGGATCGTCTACAAGCCTAATCTTGGACTCGTAGAAATCGTGACAAGAAATAAACAGTTCTCTTGAATTTTGTAGATACTCAGAGAGGAGTTCGTGCATTTTGATAATTACTAGGCTAAAGTGGTAAAGGCTGTTTGCTGTTCATCTACTCGTGAAAAGCATTTCTCGCATTTAGTGATCATTCACAACACAGTTGGTGAACATAACAACGGAGTTTATCTTTTTTTTTTTCATTGAGCATCCGTAGCTACTAGATATTCCACTAGTGCCTAATACCAGCTAATTAAAGAGGCAATACGATATCTCATCAAATCATAATGTTTTGTAGTGATCTTCCCATCCTTTCCTCCAAGGGTATTGATCCATATCTCCAGCGAAAATCATGCCATGTCATGTCATAGAATGCGTGCATGCAAATAATATCATATCATATCATATCCCATTCCATCCCGTTCAAACCATTCGCCAACTCCGATGTAAATACTCTAATGAGCACTCATTGCACCCATGCTATCATTCTTGGGTCCGGTCTTCTCCATTGACTGCGGGGTAAGGTAATGTTAGTCTTTGCTTTGATAGAATGTACGTGCATACGGGAAAGGGTAAACATACAGAACCGTGTTGTGCCTCTCCCTTCTCGAGAATGGTCTTGATGATATCATCCTCAACCTTGGTATCGAACTCGTTCACCAGTTGAGACTCCGAAGCTTCATCGTGGGTACCTTGAGCTCCGTGCCTAGAAGTTTATTGTGTTAATTTGATGATCAAAAGAATAAATCAAGGCTCTGCGCAAGTGTTCCGATGTAGAAGAAAGTGTTGATGTGAAGCTTCAGCTTCAGCTTCACATGGAGTGTGGGGTAATGATGAGAGAAAGAGCTTACTTGTGTGTAACGAAGACCTTGAAGAGACCGACAACTTGTGCAAGAGGAATGCTCTTGTCTCCCTTCCACTTCTTGAGATCTTCCTCTGAGTCTACAAAGACGATGAAGTCCTCATCGGTCTTGGTACCCTTGTAGTGAATCTTGGTTTGGGATCCTGAAGCCTTCATGATTGCGGTTGTAGTGTTGATTGAAAGAAGATGTTTGGTAAGTAGTTGAAATAATTATTGATCGTTGATATTCGTGAGGTTGTTTGCTTGTTTGTTCGTTTGATTGATTTATTTGTATGAGGAAGGAAAGAGTTGCAGAAAGAGGAACGTTGGCTGGTTTTGTAGCTCAATCAGATTGAGTCAATTTGTTGGCAGCTGCAGTTTTCGTTCCTGGCGTGGTTTCAACCCCTCATTCTTATGACGTCACATTCCAGGTTTCATTCTAACCTTTCATCTCACACGACTCCTTTTTGACCATTTGGAGTGGGGTCGACTGGGTCTCATAATTTCATTACTATTTCTTTTTTTTGCTTGGAATCGTATGGTTGACTTTATATAATTTAATGCGTGTCATACACTCGTCGGCGCCATCCGTTTTGATTACATTGGGTTGGATGGGATCAAGACATTCGACCCCACCGTGAGTAAATATGAGGGGTGCTACGTCACCGTCAAATCAGCCACCAATTTTTAAGAGGATTAATTATATCTCATCGTAATTTCTATCATAATAGCCGCGTCAAGAAAACAACACGAGAGTAATCTGATTTGTTGGTCATCTTTACAATTGAGCAAGTGACAAGTATGAGCCAGTTCGGTTTCTAGATGCTTCTCTTCACACGTCCACGAGTGCTCTTTCGATGATTCTCCCTTCCACCACCGGAAGTTGAGACATCCTTTGTAGAGACTTCTTCCATCAAGAACGATCACATATGAAATGAGCAAGCATTGGAATCATATGGAGTTCAAATCCCCTGAGTATCTATCTTAATCGAGGAGATATTCTCGCTTCCACTGTTCATACATGTCAGAACTACTTCAGTTCATAGCATATCATATTCAAGGAAATTCTCACAAAGTCTATAACATCCTGCGCGGATTCAGGATTGGGTTCTGAAAGCCAATCCCTCAACTGCTTTGGTCCATCGGTCGTACTAGCAGTACGAGCCAGTTCTGGGACACTGTGACAAATATCGCTGAGTATATTTCTTGTATGTTCCGTCATGGTGTTACCGACGTGGCTGAATGGCAGAAGCTCATATTGAGCATCGACTCTTTTGGAGGATGGAACGACACAAAGTTGTCTCTGAAAAGGTTGTACTATTGAGAGGATTTGCGGGACTGATATCAGAGGTAGAATTGGCATTTTGAAAGTGGACATCAAGCTAGAGTTAAGTTAAAAGGGCCATGTTCCAAGTTATGATTCGTGACTCCTAATACCTGATTTGAAGATCCATAAATTCTTTCAAGCCATTGTCGTTGCTGTCCTTTTCGCGGAGAAGAAAAATTATTCCTACATTGCGACCTCCAGTCTGGTGATAGAGTCTCTCGACTCGGGCGGATGCATTTGCGATAGGTTGCATATCTATTGAAGAGAGCAAGAGAACTCTAAAAAACTCTTGTTCGCCTGTTTTACTCTGCATTGGGAGTGATAAATCATGTGTGTTCAGAGTCGCTTCTGTCTATTTGTCAGTATTGGAAGCCGAGTATCATTTCAGCAACCCGACCTTTCCACTTTGGCATCTTCTCCATCAGTAAAATGGAAGGCAATGAAGCCCACTGTTGTCTTTTGCGAAGTGATGAACAGAACATCGTTGTTTTGTATTGGCCGTTTACCAACGTCCTGCGTTGTTTGAATGGGAATATTGGTACTATTGCCTCCTAAAAAAAGATGAGTCTTTCTTAGCGTCATTTTGGGAAACCGTGAGAACTACGTTCTATGAATTTAAGAAAACGACATTAGGCATACACACAACCTCAAAGAAATTGTAGAAAGTGCATGATACTTGTTGATAGTTTTTACATTTGACGAGTTAACATATATAACTTAACATCTGGACCTTCTTCCTACATCATCCGGAAGAGAGTGGATGAGCTCGGCGTCCTTAAAGCTCCCATTTCTCCCACTTTGTGTGAATTCCCTTCCCCTTGTTGTTATTTGTACAGTGAGGTGTATACGTCACTTGCCTCCACAGCTACAGATTTCTCAACATCCATCTTCCTCTCTGCATCCTACTCGTGGGATGATCTATATATGTAGGTGCCAGATGCTTTCCAAACGCTTTGCTATATGTAGAAGGGGTGCTCTTCACCCTTGTGCGACTGTTATGTTCCGCGATTCGACTGGAAATTCATGATTTCCATGTCAACTTTTTCTTTCCATTGGCACTCCGAATTTCCTCCAACACCTGTTCAAGTACTTCTACACGCTCTTGTTGCTTCTTCTGTGCCTCCTCCAATTCTTTCTGCCGCAGGTTCAACTCCTCTTCGAGTTTTTGTAGCTCTGCCAATTTTTCCGCGTTCGAATCGGGTTTTGACTGGGTTTTGATATACTCGTACATTAACAAGCTTATGGCGACCGACAAGATGAACGTATCGCCGATAACATCAGCAAAGAGATCAACAGCTCTGGTTTCCGTCAAAGGTCTGAATCTCCGTCTCCAAACGCTAATATTTTCTTGATTGTGATGGTGTGCCTTTTTCGCAGCCTCTTCCGCCTTGGTCTGCTCTTCTGTCTTTACAGTTGGAGTCTCCGCCTTTTCTCTGGCTCTCTTTTCGGCTTGTTTGTCCCGTAATAGGTTTACTTGGATTCTCATATTCCATTGATGCATCGCTTGTCCACCTCTAGCTGCTATCGCCCGGAATCTCTGGTGCTCATGAGCCTGTCTCTTGATCCAGTTCTTAGAGGTGTTAGCTTGCATCTCTCGAGAAACAACATGGTAAGTCAATACATACTGCACCATACTTGGAGATATGCCTCACGAAGAGGGATCCTAGTTTAAATAGAGGAAGCGCGACCATTATGAGTGGTTGAGGATCTTAAACGACACTTCTATGCTGCAGTTGCCATTGACATATCGAAGTAGTAAGATTGACAGTTAATGAATCGTCATTGTAACGTAAAGTAAGCTCAGCCAAATGTCTATGGATCAGGTCCATAAATCCATTTCGAGGCAAGATATTGGATAAGCACCCAGCAGGTAATTTAACTTAGTCAGCCTGGTTATTTTTTGAAGTGTCAGAGTGGGTGGGTGGATGGTGTAATTTTGGTGGAGTACCTATTCTAAGCAGTCTATTGTAAGCAAAGATGGAAGGTTCACCAGTTTCGCGTTTCGTGGCTTTGTTGCTGTATCAACCAAAAAATTCAAGCTTGTTCCCGCCCAGACCAGCAGAACCCTTTCGAGGCTGTTTACAATCATAATTCGGATAACTCCATGAGCAAGAAAAAAGGACTTTGTTTCTACACCCATCTTTTTGATCTTATCAGCCTCATCATATTCACTGTCTTTAATCGGTTGACAACATTGACAGTAAATTGCTAACTACCCGAGGGAGAATGTACTCGGACAACAATTAAACCTCCAACTGTAAGTCACAATTCTGCTTTCAAAAATTATACAATCATCGGTCATGGAGGAAGTGAACATCCACAAATTATCTCAACATTGGACACCAAAAATTAGTGTGGTAGCATTATCAGACGCAGAAGAAGCCGCAAAAAGACAAAGACCATCTTCGACTCAGATCTCCGAGTTTTCCAATCGACATGGCTCCATGCTGGGGCGATATGTATATGGTCATCCAGGATGTGCAGACAGAGGGCACTTGGAACTTCATTATCCTAAGCTCGTATGGGAAATAGTACCGCTCGAAATAGAAATCTTAGATATCATAGGATGCATTCTATCTCGATTCAGCAGCTCTGCCGCCAATTGTGGTCGAAAGTCGCCAAAAAACCAGCACGCTGTATTATTCTTTACTAACTACCGTACTATCCAGGCTTACTGTGCTCACGACGGCACCGAACTGAAAAGGTTTCATGAAGTGATACAACTAGATCTCGAATACAGGCGCTTGGAGGTTGACGAAAAATTCAACGGACAAACCTACGAGCAGTTCACGAAAACAGCTTTCAAAAACATTCACCGTTACCGCATCTGGGAACAAGAATTTCCCTGTAACGAAGAAATGGACGCGTTATCACCCAGAGATGTCAACACGAATATTCGTACGAAAACAGCAGTGCAGAAAACAGCTCCCCCAACCAAGCTAGCAAGAGAAAAGGATCACCCTCCACCACCACCTAGTGAGGTACCAGAACCACCATGTTCGGATCGAAAAGATGGATCTATATACAAGACCGGCCGTTGTCTTGGAAAGGGTGGATTTGCCATTTGTTACGAAGGTCAACTTAAAGGGACAAGGAAGAAGTACGCTTTGAAGATTGTCAAAAGCCACATGTCACAAAAGAAGATGGAGCAAAAGGTCAGCCCAATGGCCCTTGCTCAGTTATGTCATGAACTAAACCCATGTGATAGTTTCAAACCGAGCTTCAGATCCATTCAAAGATGAATCATCCAAATATTGTTCGATTCTACCGAGCGTTTTCACACGATCAATGCACTTACATAGCTATGGAACTCTGTCCTAATGGTTCGTTAATGGACATGGTCAAAAAAAGAAAGTATCTTACGGAGCCGGAAGTTCGTTTCTACACTGTCCAGATTGCTGGAGCTATCAAATATATGCATGCAAGAGGTATAATACACCGCGATCTGAAGATGGGAAACATCTTTTTGGACAAGGATATGAATGTTAAGATTGGTGATTTCGGACTCGCAGCATTGCTCATGTCAAATAAGGATATGGCAGCATGCAGAAGGACAACTCTATGTGGAACACCAAATTACATTGCGCCTGAAATCCTATCCAAAAACAATGGTGGACACGATCATGCAGTTGACATATGGAGTTTGGGTATCATTATGTGAGTGGGCATTTCGTAGTTCTATAAAAGTCTCCATACCTGACCTAACATGCTTCAGTTTTGCCATGCTTACCGGGAAACCACCATTTCAGTCCGCTACAGCCGATGAAATTTATCGACGTGCAAAGGAAAGAGAATACACCTGGCCACAACATTTCGTCAGTGCCAATATGATCTCATCAGAAATTCAAGATTTGGTATCCACCATGTTACAGGATGCAGAACAGCGTCCACATCCAGATATCATTGTGCAACATCCATTTTTCACTTGCGGCTGGATGCCCCAGGTTGAAGAGATGACTGCCGATTTACTAGAGGATCCTCCAAGGCCCGATCAATTCCCTTCAGTCGTTGTCAAACCTGGCAAGCCGAATCCATACGCTCGAAGCCTTAAGAAGTTATGTATCAAATGTGAAGTTGGTCCTTGGACTCCAAAAAAGCAGTACACAAGTCTTTACAAAGAATGTGCTTTAGAAGAGAAAGCCGGCCTTACGCCTAATGTGCCACTCGCTGAGGGCATTGTCTACCGTCCTTATTCCGAATATGTCAGAGAGCAAAACCAGCAAAGTGTTGAAGAGAAAGCTGCCATTGAGATGGAGGCATCTAGTACAGTTGTGGATTCGCTCGCTTCGGATATCGCAGAGTCGAGTCTTGCACCGTTGGCCAAAAAGCCCATCTCACAAAGAACCGTCTCTCAAAGAGCTGCTAGTCAAAGCTTTGCGGCACAGCAGCGCATCAAGGATCAGCCATTGAGTACTGTTTCAATCAGAGGCGCACTTCCTCGACGACCGATCCAAAGAGAAATCAATACTAGAGAGCCGGCCAGCAACGCAACAACCGAGATTAAACCTCCCCGTAGTATTCTTAAGACAAAAACTATTCCATCTGTTCCACAAATCTCTTCCGAAGCTGAGGGGCGCCTTGCAGCCGATTTGGTGGACGAGTTGCAAAAGGCGGACGAGGAACGAAAATCGCAGGATTTGAAGAAAAAACAGTCTACTAAGAAGGTCGTTTCGCTATTTTCACCCCAAGAGAAATTGGAGTGGTTGCCAGGCAGCAAACCAGACCACATTCTTGAAGGCCTACAACGTCTCCAGGTTGAGCTAGACCGAGCTTTAAACAGTAGATCCATTGCAGCCACTCCGAAATCTAGACCCACAACCCCTGCTATAGTTGTGAAGTGGGTAGATTATACCAACAAATATGGGCTTGGATATATTCTTAGTAATGGAAGTGTGGGTTGTGTCTTTAGGGAAACACCGGCTGGTTCTCCAGAAAGTGAGGACAACGTCATCGCACCTTCTTGCATTGTTATTCGCGACGGAGAGAGGCATCTCGCGAATCGAACCAACAAATTGTACGCACACAGGCATCAGATTATACCAATTTCTGGTCCCAATGTAGAATTTTATGAAAGCAAGGGTGAGAAGGGAATGATTCGTGGATCGGTCCCTGCCAAGACTTACAGAGTTGCTGAAAGTCCAGAGGGCCGACCCGGCAGACTTCCTCTAGGTGTAGATTCATTTGATAATCGCAAACGAGAAAAGATTTGTCTATGGAAGAAATTTGGCAATTATATGTTTGCTTATGGCAGAGATGCCGAGTATCCTTATGAATCATGGACAGCCGGTCAGAATCCCGAGGTTACTGTCAACAGTACAGTTATCACGTTTTATCAGCGATGGGGAGATGTCGGCTGCTGGGGATTCAGTGACGGCCATTTTCAGTTCAACTTTCCCGATCATACTAAAGTCGTCCTTTCAGCGGATGGATTCTGGTGTGATTTCTATCATCTTTCTTTCGAATGTGCACGAGAGCTCACGGAAAATGGAACACTTCCGACGACTGCCCTTGATGAGCGACAACATCTCTCCTATCCTCTGCAAACACTTCTAAACTTCATGGCTAAGCCGTCGAGGGCAGTGAAGCCCACTTCACGCAAACGTCCCGAGATTGATCCGATGATTCAAGGTCTCCCCCAAGCAAATGACTTTAGGAGAAAAGTTGAATTTATCAGATGTGCAGTCAAAGAGTGGGTACAAAACGGTGGTCTTGGAATCAGCGATATGGAACCCAAGACACGTTTACGATGGATGGGGCATCGTGAAATTTACGACGATAAAAAGCTCAAGCATGTTTGGACTACAGTTGGGGGGCGTCGCGGAGATGAGAGACGAGTTGCATGGTACGATCCTCGCAATCCGCAGGAAGTAATTTTTGATGCCGAAGTTAATGGAGTTATGGTTGAATGATTGGGTCTTTGGCGTTTTCCAGATCAAGACGAATTCCAGAGTTCAGCACTAGCTGCACGTTTACGGCAATATCATAAATAGTAATATCGCTGGTGGGAATCAGGAGTTCTTAGGAGTATCAATTGATATAATTGGGAGTTTGGGGTCGATGGCATTCGTTGTGCAATACATGCACAACGTTATTCATTCTCGATCATGAATAAATTTTGATTGCTGTATTTTTTCTTGTCTCATTCATTCATCAAGTTCAAATACCTCTTTGCATGCATAGCATCTGGATTGGAGTTTTGCGTTCTTGATAAAAATTATGAAGTTTGATGAGCGAGCGGGACTCTTGCTGGTGCTTATCATTGGCTTTTGGTTCCTTTCAATTTTAGCTGAGCTGATAAGTTGTTTTCTCGTCGGCTGATTGGAGGGCACTTCATCATAGGAGTGGGTACCTTCGCCCGGACAGTACTTAGATACTAGATTAATGGCATACATAAAGCGTACTACATGGTTTCCCTATTGTGATGGTGTTGGTGGAGTCTATTATTCGCGGTGACATATGGTGACATATTCGTACTATTTTTTTGTTCGTGAAACTTTGGGTGTATTGATTAAACCGGCTTGAGTGCAATCGCCGGAGTGAAGAAGTGGGCAAATTCAGTGACTATCTCAGATGAGGGAAATGAATTATTACGTTACTCAGGGAGAACACAGAAAAAGCCCGCGAGTAATTAAGGGGGGAAGGAATTGATGGTCGAATCTCGGAAAAGTAAATGGAAGAGGCAGGCAAATTG